AGATAATCTATTTTATTTATAATCCCTCCAGCTTGTCATTTGCCTTTTAATATCTTTTTGTTTGAACTACCAAAAATATAAATATTACCAAATTAAATATTCCAATAATGTTTTTTCAATTTAAAAAATTATTTTTTTACTTAATTAACCTCTTCAGAAATGTAACTCTTCACTAACAAACTTAGTTTTCTCATTTTTCCCTTGTTTTTATTATTTCATAAATCTTTCTAATTGTATCTGGAATTGATTTTAGTGATTTTTAAAGCATTAAGAATATTTTTCATCCCCAGATATAGTCCTCTCCCCCCCTTAAAACCATTTGTTGAATTGAATTTTGAAGGAAAATTAGGAGCTGAAAGAAAATTGGAAAAAAAAAAAAAAAAAAAAGACTAGAAGTAGAGAGGCTCTATTCCTCTAGGGAAGAGACAGAGGCATGAAAACTGTAGCCAGTGACTGCAGGTAAGGTAGGAGTAAGAGAGAGAGTGAGTGAGTTCCAGACCAGGACATGTGTTTAACTCAGAAATGTGAGTATTATATGGAAAACACCAGGGAGCTTTTCTCAGAGACTGCAGACTTGAACCTGATTTCTGTTTCATAATATCCACCTTACAAGCAAAGGTAAAGATAAATGAAGGGAGATAAGTATCATACCAGAGCATGTCACACAAAGCTGTTACAGTAAACCAGAGGGCTTTTATATTTTAGGGAATGTTGAGAAAGAGGAACCAGGGAAAGAAAGGAAGCCTGTAATGCATGGAGTAGAGGCATTACCAGAGATGAGGTTCCCAGGACTGAGTAGATGGTATCACATAAGCCAGGGAGGGGTGGCTCTCAAGAACGGGCAGGTAGGGTCTGTCAACAATGATAAATGAGAATTGCTGTACGCCAAGGGAAGACATGTTTTCCATTGTATCTAGCAATACACAGTTAATGTTGTCCTTCCCAGACGTGTTTCACTTGAGTGGTGGAAGGGGGGCCGTATTTCAATGCAAGTCCCCTAGTGTATCTGTGATCCTGTCTGCTGGTATTTCATCCTTCCTGGGATTGCTACCTTTCATGCGGCTACCACAGGGCTGCCTTAGCCTATGACCTTTTTCCTGACATCAGTTGACTGACTCAGTGACAGGTGCTTGACTGGATCCACTTGCCCCAGTAATTTGCCCATGTTGAGTACTGGGACCCAGGTAAGCCAATGAGTGCCTTTTCCAGGGACTTTAATGTGATATTCAGAGAACAGAGGTTAGTTGCTCCCTGATGATAGAAACTGTAGGTGGTAAAATTTGGGAACCTGTTGTCTTAACATGTGAAGAAAGCTCAATTGTATTAAGAGAAGTTGAAACCAAATGCAGAGAGATGGAGAGCTAAGATGGAGAGAGAATCCAGGCAACAATAGATTCTGATTTTTCCTGACTCTTAGCTGAATCTCTACCCCTTTCACACTTTTGCAGTTCACCACTTCCTTGGGTTGTAGGCGTAAATAAAGTCCCTTTTTCCTCTAAGCCAGTTTAAGTTTTCTTTCACTTGCAACTAAAACTTCCTGACCACTGCAACCAAATGATGCTGGTAGTTTGCCAGTAAATGGAAAAGTAATGGGGTCAAGGGAGAGTTTCCTTTAAAATGGGAAAAATTTGAGCATGTCTATGCCAAGACTGAAAGTCAGTTGGGAGAGGGGGAGATTAAGGATACAGTAGAATAGCTATGAATGATGGAGTGGGGCCATTGGAGGTAGAGGGGATGGGATCTAAAGTACAACAGAAAGGCCAACCTTGGACAGAAGGAAGGAACCCTCTTTCATGTAAACAGATGGAATAAGGGGGTGGACTGGCAAGAGATGCCAGCACGTGTGTAGGTAGTAAGAAAGGAAGTTAACAAGTCTTACCATGTTATGAGCATAGGTGGATGTGGTTAAGTAGGAAATATTAAAAGAAGTCAAAGTTTAGCATAGCATAGGAGCTGAAAGTGGAAAGGAGTCCATGAAGGACTTGAGGACCAGCACTGGGTGCCCACAGGTGAGATAATAAAGGTCTAAAAGCTTGGCTATTCTGTTTTTCCAGCATTGCTAAGCAGCCTTCTGTTGTATTGGTCCAGAGTCAGTCTTTTAAGTTCTTTAACTTAAAAGATTATTTTTTAGAGTAGTTTCAGGATCACAGAAAAATTGAGCTGAAAGTGTCCACATACCACCCCTTCTCCATTTGGCCTCCCCCACCAAGATCTCCCACCAGGGTGGTAATTTTTTTACAGTCAATGAGCCTATACTGGCATATCATTATCACCCAAAGTCCAGAGTTTACATTAGAATTCACTCTTGATGTGCATTTTATGGGTTCTGACAAATGTGTAATGACATGTACCATACAAAGCAGATTCCCTGCCCTAAACAATCTGTGCTTCACCTGTTCGTCCCCGCTCCCCCTACCTCCAACCCCTGGCAACCACTAATCTTTTCACTCTCTCCATAGTTTTGCCTTTTCCAGAATGTCACATAGTTGCAATCATACAGGTATAACATTTTCAGACTGGCTCCTTTCAGTTAGTGTTTTGCATTTAAGGTTCCTCCAGGCCTTTTCATGGTTCGGTAGTTTATTTTTTTATCACTGAATAATGGATCCATTGTACTGGCTTATTTATCTGTTCACCTACTGAAGAGCATCTTGACTCAATGTTTTCTCAGTTATAAATAAATCTGCTATAAACATGCACATGCAGGATTTTGTGTAGATGTAACTTTTCTGTTTATTTGAGTAAATACTAAAGCGCATGGTTGCTGGATCATATGGTAAGATAATGTTTAGTTTCATAAGGAACTGCCAAACTGTCTTCCAAGGTGGCATTTTGCATTCCCCCAGCGGTGAAGGAGAGGAGTTTTCCTGTTGCTCCACATCTTTGCTACCAAAAGTAGGTCTTTTGAGAAAGGAGTTGAGGGAGAGAGTCTTAGAGGTGACCAGGCAGAGTAGGGCCTGGAATGAAACCAGGGGAGAGCTGCTTGGGAGACAATGGGGGCTTGGTAGCTGGATGAGATAGAGAAGTAATTAAAAGTGAACAGAGTGGATAGTTTATTGGCATGTGAAAAGGACTATAATCTTTAAAAATCAACATGAATGGGTAGACTGAGAAAGGATTTGAAGTCAAAGAGGTAGGAGAACAAGAAGAGTAGTGTCAAAGATGCTGTGAACAAAAGGGGGGCTAGTGAAGGGGCTAGTTACACTGCATGCAGAAGGCACTCTAGGTCTACATAGAGGTTTTCAAGGTAGCCTACGCACACATAGGTTCCAAGGTTGGTGTTCACTGATTTTGCTAAATCTTTGTCTATTTGAGTAGCCAAGTCCTCAAGGAAAGCAAAAAGGGTACTAAGGTCCATATGCAAAATGCTAATTTAAATCAATAGACATTAAAGTACTGCAATTTTTAGTGATTTTCGAGTAGAAATATTCTGGGTGAAGCAAAATTTTTAAAGGAGGACGGAGACTCTCTATTAGATAATGTGATTGTGTTTTCAAGTAGAAATGTAATTTTATCCTTTCTCTCATGATGCCTTGGACCTAAGATGCTTTTTTATCCTATCAAGGGGCCCTTGTATTGCTCTGTAGGTTAATACTGTACACCCGGCTACACGGCTGATTTTCATGGATGTGCTGTGGAAGATTTGCTGCAGGCAAACTGCATTCCTTTGAGGTTAACCCAAGCAGGGCTTTAAGGAAAGCATTACACAGGGGACAATGGCCCCAGAGTAAATAGGGAATCAGCCAGCTCACCACTTTTTAGGCAGCTTTAGTCCTTAGCAGGCAAAGGCATCTCAAAAGGGCACTGGATTTTAAACTGAAAGAGAAAGAAAAGAAAACATCCATCTCCTACTTTTCATTATCTTTACCATTTGGTTGTTTATCTTTAGAGATACTTTGAAACAACCACAAAGTAAAACACTACCATTAAGTAATACCTCAAAATGATAGAACTGATTGAGTTTGGCTTATTTAATGTCAAAAACCAAATCAGAGGAAGCAGAGATCTCTTCTAGATCCTTTCATTTTGCATATTTGAATGACCATGTCCTTCGTGATTGACACTAGCAAATTGGTCCAACAAACCTCTTAAGATGAAAAATATGTATATTATATATATATATATTTTAAGATTAAAATATGTAAGCATGTATATATCTTTTATAATTTATTTCAGTGTCAAAAAATACATTATTCGGGAAATGGATCAATCTTAAAAGCTTGGTAGACTTGGAATACATGGAGAGGAGCAGGATGTACAATAAGAATGGACCTGGTCTCTCTAGCAGAATGAAAAGATTGGACTTTCTAGGATCTGTTGGAATAGAGAGAAGTGAAGTAAAAGAGTTTAGGCCAAAGAATGGGCAACTTTGAAAATAGGATGGAAGAATTTACATACAGAAAACCCTTGATTAGTTGATGGATGTTGGAATGGCATAAGCAATAGCTTGACTGTAGTAAATGGGATGGATTTGAGGAGATATTGAAGTAAGGGGGATTAGGTATGAGTTGATTGCAGGAACCTAGAGACCAAGCAATGCATATCTGAACTAGTATAACTGGGACAGGGAAAATGAAAAGTTCTTTCCAATTTCCCCTTAAACTGGCACTAAGTAAAAAACATATGGGTCACATTTCCTAATATGCAGTGTTTTGAAAACTTCATATTGTAGAAGCATTTCACACCTATACAGAAGCAGATAGGCTCTTACCATGAGCCCCAGTGCACTCATCACCCAACATCAACGTGCAGCCAATCCTGGCCCTAATACAGCCTCATCTACTTCCTCCTTATTTTTATGTATTATTTGCCACACTAATATTCAACAGGGGTCATGATAAATTTTATTATGCTTTTACTTTAAAATCTTGTTACTTTTTTATTATTTTATGGAACTTATCAATGTTAAAAATAAGTTTATTTCATTTATGGTACATATGATCATTTTAAATAAATATTTGAGATAAAGAAACTAATAAACAGCAATCTTGGCTACCTAGGTGAAATCTGAACAATTCAAGAAGATGGCTTGAGTTTCTTCTATTTGGGATAAAAGACATATTTCACAGACTTAATTACAGGTAAGAAACCTCCATCTGTGTCTAGTGAAAATGCCTTACAAATGCAGGTGCTCAGTAAACATTTATTCAATTGACTGTTGAAATGACAATGAAAGTGAAATTCAAGTAGTAGCTAAATTTAAACAAATGGTAAGGTAAATACTGACATTACTGTTGATGACCATTTTAAGTGAATGTAAAGAATAACATATAATTAATAAATATCATCAGAACTGACAAAGGGATATATTTATTCCTGAAAAATGCTCCCTTATCTCCACTTACAGTGGAAAGCATTGTAGTATGAAGACTTCCTCAGCAAGTAAAGGTAATTTAATGGCAGAACTAGGATTGTGTCTGCACCCTTTTATATTGCTGTCATAACAATTTACTATAAATTTAGTGGCTTTAAAATGCCACAAATTTATTGTTGTATAGTAGACCAGAAGTCTGACACAAGTCTCACTGAGCTAAAATCAAGGTGTCAGCAGGACTGCATTCCTTTCTGGAAGATCGAAGAGAAAATTATTTCCTGGTCTCTACCAGCTCTTAGAGGCTGTCCACATTCTATGGCTCCTTCCTCTATCTTCAAGATCAGCAAAGGCAAGGAGAATTTATAGAAGCTACATCACTCTGATCCCCCCTTTTCTACTGCTTCTTCTACTTTTAATGACATGTAATTAGGCTGAGAGCACCCAAATAGTTCAAGATGCTTTGCCATCTCAAGTTCCTTAACCTTTATCACATCTACAAAGTTTCTTCAGCTGTGGAAGGTTACATATTCATCAGTACCAGGGATTAGGAATGGCCATTACACTATTCTGCCTACAACAGTCTGTGATTTGAGTGAATAAACCTTTTCCAGTCAATATGGGTTCAGCTATAATAACATAATAGTGATAAAATCATTGAACAATGCATTCTGTCACTGCAGAGTGGAGTGTGCGTGTGTGTGTGTGTGTGTGTGTGTCAGTGTGTGTGTGTGTACTGTGTGTGTATGTGTACTTCCTTTAAACATAAATCTACTGCTCTGCGGAAATTTTGAACCACTGTTGCCTTAGAACTTTACCCTAAGTGTTCTCCACCAGCCCCACTGAAAGAGCCAAGAAAATAATGTACTTTGAGTAAGAAAGATCTCACCATGGGCTCTATGGATGTGGAAGGCAGGGAGTTATGTGATAAAATAAGTAGTTAACAAGTCAGTATTTTAACATATTCACTAGAATTCAAGGCAGCAAATCTTGGCGTTTATATGCAGAAGGGCAATAATTCATATTTTTGTCTCATCCTGGAAATCAATGTCATGTAGTTATTTATAATTTTATTTAGGCATCAGAATCTATGAAAGTGATTAGTGGAAGAATCATTTAAATCTCTCAGTCTTATTTTCCCAGTCTGTAATTTGGGGATAAAAATACTATTGCTCCCAGAAGGCAGTTGTGAGAATTAAATTTCATAATGTATATAAAGTTATCAGAGAACCTTAAACACATAGTAACTGCTCGATAAGTATTAGCTGTCATTTTTATTTGCTAATGAAAAATCCTGGATGAACTATCCTGATGATACTCTCATGTGGCTTTGTGGTTGTTCGCTCATATTCTATTATATATTTTATGAAGGAAACCATATATTTTGGTAGTATCCATGAATTTGGGTAATTTTGACAGCCTCAAAATAGGATATATTAATCAGGAATATCTACTTCCAGCCAGTGGCATGTTGACTCTGCAGAAGAAATCCTATAGGGGGGTATAAATGGATTCATGCGAAGACTATCTTTTTGTTTTGCTATCCTGTTAGGGTTTATGACAAATTTTTAGAAAATTCTGAGAGGTAGATTCAATTTTTACAAAAAGCCAAGCTCCACTTGGAGGTCATTACACTGAATAGGGCAGGCTATTAATATTTTGGACCAGTGATAAAGTGTGAATGCAGAGCAGTGAATCCCAAGCTCTTACTTTATATTAGAATCACCTGAGAAGTTTTAGAAAGTACAATTCTATATATCTCATCCCCAGAGACTCATGTTCAGTTGACTGGAGTTAGGGAACAGGTATGTGTATCTTTAAAAATACTCACGGGTGATTCTGAAGTACCATTCAGAGTAAGAACCATTGTGTTAGCCCAGTTAAGCCAGAATCTTCATGTTGGAGTATGGGTATCAGCAATTTTTAAATCTCTCTGGATTATTGCAAAGTGCAGCCAATGTTGAGAATCTTTGCTTTAGGTTGATGGGACTAAGACAGATCTGAAGATGTTCTACAAAAGTGTCAAGCAATGAGTCATGCTCAGGTAAGTGGTGTGAAGGAAGAATGCCATATGTATGTGAAGGTTTATGTTCAAGTGTGTTTTTCAAAATGCCACCTTGTCCTACTTCAACATCCTATGTCATCTGAGCATGACAAGTGGGATGTGGTACAGGATACATATTTACAAGATGGTTGTCCACCGCCTGCACCTGAGGCACAGCACCTGTGGTGGCAAAGCATTGTTCAGGGAGAGGAAGGGAGGGTGGAGGTGAGGAGGAGGTGGCACGTGATCCTCTACAGGGACTGTGGGTTATTGATGATGGGAGATGAGAAAGGCTGTGCATAGTCCGGGTCCTCCTTCCCTCAAGTCTCTTTTCTGTCATCCTCCTTCATTATTACTTAAAAGTCATCCAGATTTGGTAGTGTCTTGGTACCTGATGATTTCCTAACCATTTGACTCCTGGATTATTCTCACGAATAGTAGGAGACAAAGGACTAACATCAGAGAGAGAAAATAAGTAAGTCTTGAAAGAGAAAGCAGACCTTGGTGAGATATGGATCAGCCATGTCACCAGAGAAATGATTAAGTGCCGTTAATTATGCGAGCATCATTACTTCTGGTCAAATGATTCTTAAACCTTTTTTCCTACGTCTTAGACTTCTCTGAGAGTCTGATGAAAGCTATGGATCTCTCCTCTGAAAAATACACATGTCCTCAGACACAAAAGGGTGTGCATACCATTTTATGTACAGTCCTTCTGGAGTCATTACCAAACTACCCACTGTTTCACAACCCCAAATCCCTGGCTGCCTCTTCTCAGGCTCATCCTATTAGCTTTTGCTGTGCCAAGTAGTGGGGGTCAAGAACATTTGATCTTAGCTTTTGTGAAAGGTAAACATTAGGGATAAGTAGGAGCATCAGTTAAGAAGGTTCTTTTTATGTTTCATTTAAACTAATTATTTCTTGAAGGGTTAAGAAAAGCTGAAGAATACTGCATTTGTGCTGCATGCAGAGTGATTGATCAGAGCTTAGAACAGGATAAAACAATCAAGTGTGGGGAGAAGATGGAGATAGGAGTGACAAGAGAGCTAGATGGACCCTTCACAAATGTGTTTCTATTAATTTCCAGAATTCAGCATCCTTTTAATTTGTCCTGCAGGTTCCAGCAAACGAAGTAATAATTGGAATAGCAAAGGCAAACCAAACATCTGTTCTTTCTCATCCTTTTGTGAAAAGTAGAAGCAATGGGAGAATAGTCAGATTATTGGTTTCATGCGTTGGAAATGTTGTGCCTGGAATTATTATACAGGTAAGGTAAACATAAGAAGGGAAAATGTGAAAATCCAAATATTCAAAATGGGTTCTTAAAATGTAAGCAAGAAAGGCTTTGGTAGAGGAAGTAATGGGACTGCTTGATTGTAAAGACTTCCTGGGGCCCAGTAAGCATCCACTCTCCAGGACACAGGGATGGTGCACTTGTACCAGGAATCATTCCTTGACCTGTTCAGTTCGGTGCATTGACATGTTGCTCCATTCCTGTGTTCCCCCAGAGCATTCTATCCTTCCCCTAATGTTGTACAGACTATTCTGTCTTAACAACAAGTGTATCTTTCTTCGGACCACAATGCGAGTTTCTTTGTGCTATCCACTACCTGTGTCTGACCAGCACCTAACACATAGTAAGTGCTCAATAATTGTGTTTGTTGAATGGAATGGAATTGATATGAACTAGATTTTAATGAAAACAATGTAATTCTAACAAGCATTTCTCAAAATGATATTATTCTGAATGCACAAAATAACCAGATTCTTAAACAACAAAATGTCAATTTTAAATACAAACATGGGAAAAATGTCCCATGGATGTCCTTTTGGATGCTTTTCTCACAGTGTCCTAAAAATAAAATTTGGAACTTCTTTACATAATTGGTGTTTCAATAGAGATAAGCATAGATCTGGCCGGGTTGTTGTGGCAATAAAATTATTTTTCTATCTCTTATATTTATGTTTGCCTCTGAGAATGAGTAGCTGAAACGGTGACACTTGTGCAGTATATTAGCAATCAGCTACATATGTGTTGAAGTAGTATTATGTAACCCTAAATTGTTTGAGTTCCCAAAGGGACAACAAAGATTTTTTTGGATGACATGTCTTACTATTCAAGACTCTAGTCTACCCACTAACAACTGTGGCTTAAAAATCCTGGTGTGTATTTTAAATGTCTTTCTTTCCCAAAGAGACACTGAATTAAAGTTTAACAATCTTGTTTCCAATAAGAAAGGCATCTGAATGCATTTTCATATAAATATGAGACAAAAAACTGTGTACCATCAATATTCCAGGCTCAGTTCCCTCAATTCATGAAGAATTGGTTGTCTGAATTCAGATAAAAGATTCCCTTATAAGTGGTATCACATTACATTAAATCAAATATTTAACAAATTTCATATCAATGAAAGTTATAAAATACAGCATAGATCATTTTCTTTCAACTACACCTACTGTAATGAAACAATTATTTTTTAAATTTGAAGTTCAGTTTACCAGAAACCTGTTTGACAGCTGTCTGTTACATTAAGCAACATTGAGCAATCTGTCCATTGGTTATAGAGAAAGAGATGCTATTTTCTCTAGAATTAGAAGACTTTTATATGTATAAGACAGTAACAACCCATTATTTTTATTATACATTTATTTCACAAAGTACATTTTAAATGCACCATCTCATTTGATATTAAAAAATAAATCTTGTGAGTAGATAGTATTCCCTTCCAATTCACAGTTGAGAAAACGAGTTCCAAGACTCATTCGCTCACCCCTTCAACAGATATTTACTAAATCTTCGTTTTGTACCAGACAAATGCTAGATCCTGGGACATAGGTGGGTAAGACCAACCTGTTTTCTGCCTTTATATGATTTATATATTAGTGACAGAGACAGTAAGTATATAAGAAAATAAAAATTATTTAGAAGTTTTATTAAGTGACATGAAGGGAATAAAAAGAATGCATTTTGGGGAGCTTGGGGGAATAGATAATGATCATAATTATGGCAGTTAGCTGGGGCCTTTGGTCACACAGTCAGCCAGTCATTGGTGAGTCAGCACCACACCATGTCTTTGGCCTTTGAGCAGTGCTGGGTCAACTGCTTTGTACTGATACATAGGCAAAACTGTGAACTGCTCCTGAAAAGAAGTCAGGCAGTTTAGGAAATGGCATTAATTTTTTGCAAGTCCCAGACTGCCCTTGAAGTTGAACCATCAGGCAAGAGTAACAGGAAGAAGCCTTCACTCATCCTTCCACAATTTAGGACATCCTTAGAGTTACTTCAGCCCTTGGAATTGTGAAGCCACATCTCACTGGTCCCTAAAGTAGGAGAATTTGACAGCTGTCTAATGAGAGACACTGAGATGCATTTCTGCCCTCTGTTATCAGAGTTCCTGCTAGTTATATGACTGTAACATAGTTGAACCTTCTGGGTCATTACCTCCTTTTTGGAAATATTATACTTCACTAAGCATTTTTCATATTTCAGGAATATTTTCAGGTAAGCGAGGATAAAACATAAGCATTTATTTCAAAAGTTAATTCTACAGCCAGATCTATGGTTGAACTGTAAGATTAGAAGCTACACTTGCATGCTCAGGATTGCTGCTTGCAGAGACATTTATTCTTTCCCAACAGAGTCTGGAAAGCAGCTGAGCAAAATGGAATTCCAGTTTTTCTAGTGGGTTGTTATAACGACAGGAATTTGGTACAATAACGTCTATTTACTCATCCCAACACTTGGCTACCTCCCTCGTGACCCTATAGAGCCTGAGGTAATGCATTCTGCATGGTAGCTTGAGTCTGAGAAGATTCTAAGACCTTGCTGACAATTATGCATTGTGTTCCATTATTTATCACACTAGGGTAATGTGAATCTCTCTGATGTCTACAGCAAGCTGATCTGAGGCCCCTGTTCACAAGGAAAGTCATGAGGAACCCTTATCCTGTTTTCAAAGCTTCTCCTGCCCTTACCATTTTCATTTTATTCAGTGGGGGATAATAAGAGTAGTTTTTATGACTGAAAACTATCATCTTGTTTCTAAGAGCTTGACTCTGTTTTAACCCAGTGCATTTGCTGTACATAATGTACCTCATGTTATCAGAAATTTGGGATATTTGCTCTGGAAAATTTTAACAACTTCAAAGTGTAACTGAGCATCCAGAAATGTTTCTACAAGGCCAGCTGCATTCCACCAACACCAGAAGCCTGCACATATCTGGGGCTGTAAATAAATGAGGGACGTGATGCTTGAAGATGTTTGAAAAAATGTGGTTTTCTCTGACCTGTGCAAAATCGATTGGAGTGTTTATAAAACATTCCCACTTGTCTTTTCCAGCTATGGATTAAGGCAAAAGTCCAAGACTTTTCAAGAATTGATGTCTCCATTTTCTAGTGGGTTTGTATAAGTCATTAAGGTTGTTTGATGAGGAAGTTTAAGAGAAGACTTTTGCTTTTTTAAAAAAAATTTTCTAAAATCTATACTAGAACAAAATTATATTTATATGCATGCTCATTGAGCTTGGGGGGTTTAAAATGTAGAGAGCTTGAAATTCTATGCCCACTGAAAAAAACAAAGAATGTCAAGTCTAAGAAAAAAACAAAGATTCTAGAAGTTTCCTGTGCCCCAGTGGTATTTTCTGGGTAAAAGAGGGGTCTAGAGAGTGTATTCCCATAAGTGTAAATCAGCTGTGGGGGTATGGATTGCTCCCTAGGAGCAGGGCCCAGCTGAGGAATGCCCTGCTAAGGCAGAAAGAGGATGGCAAAGTCTTAGGTTTGAGTCAACAGGAGACGTGAGGTGGGAGGCTGTCGTTTATCGTGGCCAGAGAGTGACTGCTAAAATGGAGTATTGGAGTCCCATCTGAGAAACATGCAAGGTGTGCGACCTAGGAGAGACAGAGATGCCTTGAGGGGTCCTCCTGAATACTTGCTATCCTGCAGTCAATTCTCCACACCCCAGCCAGAGAACAAATAAATATTGTTCCCTTGTTTAAGACTTCCCAGTGCCTTCCAGTAACTGATAAAGTCCAAATATATTCCCAAATATCAATTGCCAAATAATTCCACACTCCTTGCCACGGCCTAAATGGACCTAATGATCTGTCCTGGTGAGCTTACCGACCTCTTTGCCTACACCCCTGCCAACCCCACTCCAGCCATACTGACCTCCTTGCTGACCCTTGAACATATCAGGCTCAGTCATTCCTTGAGGCCTTCTTCTTGCTGAACCACCCTCTATACCCCTAGACTGAAATGCACTACTCCAGATTTCTGACTGTCTTGATTCCAGTTTCATAAGATCTCCTTTCTGATGTCTTCCCCTGAGAGAGGACTTCCCTAGACACTCTCAGATAGTCTTTCCACCCATTAGCTTTCTTCCCTTGTATCAATTCATTTATTTTCAGTTTTATTACTTTCTAATATTATATTATATATTTGTTAGTATGATTCCTTCTTAACTGTCTTGTTCAAATCTGTAGCCTTAACACCTAAAACACCTGGTATATGTAGACTCTTGATAAATATTTGATGGTTCACTGAGGGAATGGTTATCTGCTGATAAAACAGGAAGCAACATGGTAATTGGGCCATGGCATTTGTAGCAAAGAGAGTCATGGGAAATGGGATAAGGAATGAAACGCAGAACACGATAAATGGCTCAAGAAACTGAATTTTGAAACAGTGAGTTGGTTACAATATCTTTTAGAATGGGCTAGAAATAAGAGATCAAGAATAAGGTATCCCACCCAAGACTTGCACAATGCCTGGCCCAGCTGCATTTTAACTTTTTTTCTTAAAACATTGCAATTCATTTACTTTTCACACATGAAAGTCCATTTGTTCCATGCATCACAAGGCAAAAAAACAACAGTATGTATTTTTAATTTTGGATTAATTGGCAAAAATCATATGTTTGGTTCTTTGTAATATCCTATGCAATTATTTTTCCCAAAGTTAAGTGGGAGAGTGAGAGAGAAAGAGACAGGTTTCCCTTTTCTTCTTTGATCATCAGGAACAAGATGGCTTCCAACAGCAGTTTGGAGGGAGCAACAGGAAATCAGATGTGCAGAAGCCGAGAGAGGATATGTGGAAATGAATGTCTTTTTTAAGAATGTGGCAGAGAGGCAAATTCTGAGGTTTCAGATTTCTTTGTCAGAGGACTGGTGAAGTGGGATAACATAATAGGAGATGGGGGGAGATACAAATATATGATTTTACTTAACAAGAGATTTCATCATATTTCCTTCTTTTAGTTATATTTCCTTCAAGATGCAATAGTTATTATTTTAAATCATAAGGTAATATACATTGAGAAACTGGAATAGTTGACAATTAATGAAAATATGTTAAAGACTAAATTGGCCATTTAGGGGGTTTAATTGATTTTAAATGAAAAAATGGAAAATCTGTAGACATGAAGGCTTTCCTGTGGTTTGTGGCACATTCAACAAACATGCCTCAGATGACTTCATCATGGCGAAAGACATTTAGTTAGATCAAAAGGAAAACTGATGGGTGCCTGGGTAAATATTTAGGAGATTTAAGTGGAAAGTTATGAACTAAAAGTAATAGGAGAAAATCCATATACTGAGGCTTGCCATGCATTAGAATCTGAGTGTGATGAACTGGATGGAGGTTAATGGTTTCTAAGGAGTTTTAAAACTATGTGCTTTGCAGCATTCCCAGGATGACTGAGCATGGGAAACCTCAGATCAGTGTACAGGCATTTTATGAGAGGAAAAACCCTTTCTGATTCCGAGCTTCATGGGAGAAAACAATGAACACAGAAGATACTTGCTCTCTGAATTGGGTAAGAACAAAATGTTTTGTAAGAAAAAATAAAGGGAGTCTTCAATGGACAGAACCTTCCTATGGTTTCCCTGTTCTAGTCAGAGAGAAATATCTAGAACTTTAATGTTATGAGTTCTCAGTATAGGTTATGGAGGGATATACACAGATATCTAAGACTCCCTGACTTTATTGGAATGTAACACCATTTACAATATAATGAAATAGCAAGAGATTTCGAGCCAAGCAACCAGGGTCGAATTCCATACTTAGCACTTGCAAATTGTCATTGAAATATAAAGTACATACTAAAAGCAGCATAAATAATTAATGGTACAGTACAATAACGTTTCACACATGAGACATATCCATGTAACCAGCACTCACAGAAATTGAAAATCAGAATATTACAAGCATCTTAGATTACTTCCCATTTACTGTCCACAGGGTTAACAGTTCTGATTTCCAACACCACAGATTATTTTGATAGATTCATGAGAAATTCATATGAATAGAATCATTCAATACACATTTTTTTGTAATTGGTTTCTTTTGCTCAATATTATTTTATTGATTTTAAATGCAATATTATGTTTATTTTATTTATATGTTGTTATAAACAAAATATTAAGTTTAATTACATTCATGTTTGCTCTAACCATAATCATTTTTCACTGCCTAATTATATTCTATTGTATATATTACAACAAATATATATAATCTACTCTTAATGGATATCTGGGCTGTTTCTAAGTTTTGGTTATTCTCAATAGTGTTGCTAGGAATATTTTTATACATGTCATTATTGTGAGCATCTAAATGGTAGAAGTCCAAGATCAAGGTGTTGGCAGGTTTTGTTTTCCTGGAGGCCCATCTCCTTGACTTCTTGCTGTGTCCTCACATGGCCTTTTCTCTGTGCGTACACTCCTGGGGTCTCTTCCTCTTCCTATAAAGACACCAGTCCTATTGGATTAGGGCTTCATGCTTCTGACTGCATTTAACAATAATTACTTCTTTAATGAACCTATCTCCAAATATAGTCACATGTGTTATTGGGACTTCAACTTAGAAATTTTGGGTGTTACAATTCAGTCTGTAATAGCATTTCTGTGGGTAAGATACTTAGAAGTAAATGCTGGGTCACTGGATATGAATACATTCAGGCTTATTAGCTACTGACAGTTTTCCACATTGGTTGAACTGATTTTCATTCCCAACAGCAGTGTATAAGGGGTCCAGCTACTGCATGATCTCAGTAAAAATGGTATTTTTTTTCATTTCAGCCATTTTGGTGTGTATGTAAATGATATGGCACTATAGTTTAATTACAATTTCCTTGATACTTATTGAAACTGACTATCTTTTTATTAGCCACTTAGATATTCTCATTTGTAAAGTGTCCGTTTAGAATTTGGCCATTTAAAAATGTCTTTACCTGCCATTTTCTTACTGATTCATAGGAGTTCTTACAGATCATGAAAATCAGTTTTTTGTTGAATATATGTCTAGAAAATACTGCCTTTTCATTTGTTAGTCATGTTTTGATAAGCATATATTCTTAATTTTAATAGAGAAGTTTATAATTTTTTATTTTATGGCTAGTGCCCTTCATTTCTCATTTTAATTCGCTTAACCTAAGATCATGAAGACTTTTGATATTTTCTTTTAAGAGGACCCAAGTGCAATGGCTCTGAGTGCCCCAAGGTACTGGTCATCTATGGCTGGGTGCAGAAATCAGTGCGCCTGGCCTGTGTTCTGAGCAGCCTCACTTTGCCCCTCGCTTCTCCCCCACTCCCATCCCTGCAGACTGTGTGAAAAATAGAGTCCTTCTGAGACATTGACCAGCTTCAGAAATTGGGATCATGGTACTTATGAAAATACTTTGTACACTGAATATATAAGCTAGCATTTTGTAAAGTACATTATCAAAAAATCTCAAAGTAACTTCATTTTATTGAACTACAGAAATTATCTACCTATTCATAGAGAATGTTTCTAAAATTTAGAGAACATTATTTCCTAGAGCTGTCTGAGAACTGAATGTAATCATACTAACTAGGGATCGATTATCTGTTAACTGTCACTTCTAGACACTAACCCTAACTTTGTGATTGCTTGAGAATTCTAAGGAAAATATATGTATTCACATACATGTCATATAAATATTCATAATTTGTGTGTATGTATATGGATTATATATCAGAAATAAGTATTTTTGATATCTCACAACTTTTCCTTTAAAAACATCTTCATTCATGCCTAGTATTAACTCCAAAGCATGTATTTAAGGGCTATGCTAATGTTAATAGTATCAGAAAATATTGTCTGATTAGGAAATAAATATTACCAGCTCTATAATTAGCCTTTGGCTTTATTTTAGTACTGGGTTAGTGAAGTTGTCTACTGCTTGCTGGGTTTGAAAACTTGTCTTACTGATTATTAAATTCATTTGTATGTTGTCACAGCTGTAAATGAAAAACATAATTTGCTCTCCTTAAATCAGTTCAATTGTTTGGCACGTGACTAGACTGTACTTTCCTAGACAGTAGCTGTCTTTCCATCTTCCTTAGTCCAGTGCCTGCCCCATAGAAGGGCTTGGTACATGTTTCCTGAGGAAATGTCCCTAAATCCTGTTTCTTGTTGTTAGTTTTGAGACTTGGGAAGAATGACAGCCTTGGAAAAGTAAATTTAAATGTTAAAAACCACTAAAATACCTGTGAACCACCCCAAAGAAGGCTCCCAGGTGCTCCTGCTACAGGGCTTATCTTCTCCATTCTTACGATCCATCTCGATATGCCCCACAGAAGCCACCATAACTATATTCTCCTCTTGCCCTCTTATCACACTCCTGCTAAGTTGATGAAGGGGCTTCTTCTCTTAGAAACAGAAACAACTGTGGCACATGTTGGAATTTCCAAAAGCCAGCAAGCCGTTTCTATGACCAGAGACAGGTGTCCATTAGAGTGGAATTAGCACCCTCCCCCCACCCTGACATACCATGGCTGCTCCATCATCACTGATGCACTGCAAACCCTGCCTGGGCAGGACAGTGGGGGATGAGTAGCTCTCTGATGATACTCATCAGCTGGATGCAGTCCATGCCCTCAGGCGTGAATGAGAATGCTCTACCACCAGGAACGGATCCAGTCTGTTCAAGGCCACATGGCCACTGGGCTCTTCTGTCTTTTTGCTGTATAGTCTAAACTGCCAACACTGTAGGGAGATTCAGAGGAACATGAGCAGTACATTGCAGTAATGGGTACACACAACTCTGACAAAGCAGGTATATTTAAGGGCCTCTTCATTTATCCTCTCTAGAAGGCTGCTACATGTGGCATGATAATAAAACCAACGTCAACAGTTTGGGACTGGCAGGGCTGAAAAAGAGAATGCAGTATTTTCAAATTTTTCAAATGGACTGAATGTAGGAAAATTTATTTTGTAGTTGCTTAAGATTAGCTTCAGAAAGAAAAAACCTCTATTAGTCATATATATTATGCTCTGAAGGCCATTGTCTATTTATAAACTTACTACAGCTATCGTCTATGGAATTTAAATAGTAAAACACCAAAAAAAGTCATTTATTGAAAATGGGAACTATTTGCAACATTTGCGTACATTCATAGCATTATAGCACAAACATGTTCCTCTCTCCCTCTTTCTCTGGAATTTGCTGCAGAAAAGAACAACAATAACATGTATTATTTTTATTGGATTATGCTCTAACTTAGATGACTAAATTGTGCACAAATTAATGATCAGAAAGTACCCAAAGTGTTACTAAAGTAATGTCTCTAATTTGTTTCCCCACATTCAACTATCATGGTGGTCTAACTAGATATTTGACCACTGTGATCATTGACAGAAGGTTCTTCCATTTTTTGGGAAGCACAGTTACTAGTTTTAGCCATAAGAACTCCTTTTCTCCTTGTCATCAGCAAGCCTAGGTTTTACAGACAGTATTTCTTTCTGCTTGTTCCCACCTGTAAGTCTTTCACCTGTTCAGAGAATGGAAAAATTCAAGGGTGTGAATCACTTAGAATCAATCAAAAATCCTTTTAAAAGTAATCAGCACAGGAGTGGGTGCTGTAAAGAGAAAGAAGTAAACTTCTGGAAACTGGAATTGGCAAGGAATTGACTTTTTCTCATTCTTTAATGTGAAACTCTAAGCTTACATCCTTTAAAATCCTATTATAAAAGTAAGATTAACCACATTACAATGGAAAGTACTACAAGTATTAATTTGTGATCCCAGTGGCTCAGTCCATTACTTTTTTCCTTTGCAAAAAAAATTTTGTAATTTTTATCATGTCTGAATAAGACCCCACAGAGTCATATAATAAATAAAGAGAACACAAGATACAGACTCAAGTGAAACATTTTGATAAAGCAAATTGGCAACTCTTGCTTCACAGCATAAATTTGATCTAATCAGCAAGGCAGAAAAATGAGAAGTTAACAAGTCATAGGCAAACTGGCATATTGGTTATGAGAATGGATGTTAGGGTCAAACTCTCTGGAATATAATAGTATTCAATATAATTCAATACAATTAAGCTGCTGTTATTATTCTTCAGTTTCTGTCATTTTTTAAAAGTAAATACTGACCCACAATGAAGAATAATTGTATTTCTAGTTTCTGAAATGTTATGAATAATAAATTCTTTTTCAATTTGGAAACCAAATTTAGTAAATCTTTTAGAATATTACTATAAACTATGTCTCACAACTGAAACCCTTCCCTACAAATGAGGATTTGTGTTCTGTACTATTCTTTTGAAAGGAGGATGCTATTGCCCCAGGAGTTAAAAACTGCTCTCAGAAAGTCCATTTACATTGACTGCAAATGTTACCAGGGGCAGGAAAATTCTAGTGTGTCTAATTTCATCACTGATAAATCTGAGTGACAACAGATCTGCCTTGGGACCAGGTCTAAGAAATTCCCTTCTCACATGCAAAATATTTTTGCTTACTTTTATGGTTTACGGATTGAAGGGTATTTTTTATTGTTTAGAATTGATAAAGCAGATAGATTCCTGCCCTATAAATTTTATC